CCAAAATTGTATGGAGGGCCGGTTAGGGGAGGCTGTGCCTCCCCAAACAGCCAGCTGTGGCCCGGCCCCGCCCCCTACCTGACCCACCTCCTAGAACTGGAAGGGACCTTGAAAGGTCATCATGTCCAGCCCCCTGCCTTCACTAGCAGGACCAAGTACTGATTTTGCCTCAGATCCCTAAGTGGCCCCCTCAAGGATTGAACTCACAACCCTGGGTTTAGCAGGCCAATGCTCAAACCACTGAGCTATCCCTCCCCCCGCTCCCTGTCAGCCTCCCCGGTACTCCTGCCCCATCCAACCCATCCTGTTCCCTGTCCCCTAACAGCCCCCAGACCTCCTGCCACCCCATCCAACCCCCGCCTCCTTCCTGACTGCCCCCTAGGGACTCCTGCCCCCATTCAACCCCCCTGTTCCCCATCCTCAAACCGCCTCGACCCCTATCCACCCTCCACCCCCGATCACCCCCGCAAACTCCCCTGCCCTCTATCCAATCCCCCTGCTCCCTGCCCCCTTACTGCGCTGCCTGGAGCACCAGTGGCTGGAGGCGCTACAGCCACACAGCCCAGAGCACCAGGACAGGCAGCCACATCGCCCAGCTGGAGCCAGCCACGCCACTGCGCAGCACAGAGCACCGGGTCAGGCCCCGGCTTTGCAGCTGTGCTGCCCGGCAAGAGCTCGCAGCCCCACCGCCCAGAGCATTGCGCCGCGGTGGGGTGAGCTGAGGCTGTGGGGCAGGGGGGACAGAAGGGGAGGGGCCGGGGGCTAGCCTCCTGAGGCAGGAGCTCAGGGGCCGGGCAGGAGTTTGCCCACCTCTGCTCTAAGTTTATCTTTATGTTTTTTGCACTTACAGTATTTCTTAACTAAGTACACTTTGCCTGCAAAGCTGTACTCACTAAATACGGTCCTTGAAAGACAACTGCTTTTCACTTTGGATTTATGCAACAGACATTGTTTTTTCCTTCCAGGAATCTTTTCCATTTAGCTTGTTTCCTTCTCTACAACTTTGATTTGTTTTCTATGCTTTTTGCATTCATCCCTCAGGGTGGCATATTTCGTTTGTAGCCACCAGAAATAATGCTTGTAAAACTGCTGCTTTATTTTGGCTTTCTTTGCCTTAGGGTAAAAGAAACTAGATACAGTTTTTTCTGTGGCTGCCAATTTTTTTTTTATTTGTTTTAAAATCAGTGGCATTCAACAGACCTCTGCCATGCTCTGCCAAGCATTCTTTTACATAGGTATCTAAAGTACCTCCCTCTAGTCCCCTTATTTTATTGAATTTCTCTTTAGGACAGAATTCTATATTGTCCCCAGATAACAGGCTACTATCCCTTCACTTTGGGGGTTCACAGCAACCGAAATTAATGTCAGGAGTCCTTTTGTGGTCGCCAAAAATTCTGGAATCATTAATAGTATCTGAAATTATTGGAGACCACCAGACACTAATTTAATCACCAATTCCTTTCTTAAATCCAAAGGCCAAATGATATTTTATACAATTGCTGTAAACATGCCTAGAACCCTAAAAATAAACAGTCACTACACCCAATACAGTAACAAAGTATTCATAAGCATGCAATCAGTATACTTACAAACAGGCCTGACCTAGGGAAAACCATCTCATCTTGGCGTGCTCCAGCATGATCAGGTAGGATCTGAAAAAGAACCGGCAGCTTTATGGCTCTCTTTATAAACTTCAGCTAACTTGCTAGTTTTAGCAAAAACCCAGTCTGAAGCAGTTTATCCTTGCTACTTTCTTTCCTCCAAGGCCTTCTTTTCGCCTCCTCTCTCCTTATTACCAGCTGAATAGGGTGACCAGATGGCAAGTGTGAAAAATCAGGACATGGGGTGGGGGGTAATAGATGCCTATGTAAGAAAAAGCTCCAAATATCAGGACTATCCCTATAAAATCAGGACATCTGGTTACCCTACAGCTATATAATGGGATGGTTTGTACTTGTTTTTTTTTTTAAGACAGCTTTCCTTTGTCTTTTTGCTTTATCAGTTACTTTTTGAACCACATATATCTTTCCCACACTATAAATAACAATACTTATTATTCTCATGGCCTTCTTTTACTTGCTGACTGGGACCTTTTCGGTACTAGTCACAAATTATAAACCAAACTTAAGTTAACTTTAATTCTTTTAATTTCATAAGTACCTCTGCAGCAGGCATTCCTAGGCATGGGTTCTTCAGTTCCCTCTCTTGTCTACTCTTTCTGAGGTATGGTGACAGCAGCAAGTCATCAGGCCCACAGAGTATTCACCCAAAAGTTCTGAAGGATTTAAGAATTAAGTGGGTGAGCTGTTAACAAAACAATGTAATTTACAATGAAAGTTAGCAGATATTCTTGAGAACTTGAAGGTGGGCAATATTAGGTCTATTTTTTAAAGCATTAGGATTAAGCTTGACATTTAAAGGCCAGTATCTTTACTTCAGCACTCAGCAAGTTGTTTGAAGCAATATTAAGAAGAGCACCTGTCCTAGTAGAGAAACACAATACAAGACCCAATTAATGTGGGCTCTAATCGAGAATCACATCTCTCAATTTAGGAGAAGTCTTTGAGGTTGACAAAGAAAAAACAGTTGATATTATTGGTTTAGACTTTCAAAAAGCTTTAATCAGGTTCCTCATAAGAAGGTTAAGGAAACTAGATAAAGGGTGTGAGAGAAGTTCATTTGTGTACTAGAAATTGACAGAAACAGAAAAACAGGAATAAGTCATCAGTTTTTAATCAGAAGGAAGCAAATAGGAGGATATTGCAATGATTTATACTAAGAGCAGCTTTAACTTATTTATTAAAGATCTGAAGAAGAGGGTGAACAGTGACCTGGCAAAATTTGCATGACACAAGATTATTTAGATTAGTCAAAGACTATGGAAGACTGAGGACGTTCAGAAGCACCTAACTAAGTTAGCAATTAGATACAATTCACTGTAGATAAATCTGATGCTCACAGAGAGGAACAGTTTGAATTTCTAATGTATTGCTGGATTGTAAAATAAATATTCAGAAAAAGTATCTAGCTGTACCTGTTGACAGTTTATAATAGAATCATTATGGTTTAGGTAGCCAGGAAAATATTTGGGAGTCTCTTTCAGACTCTTACCTTAGACGGGTTTGTCCTATTTGTCTGAGCTTGATTTTCTAGGACTACCACCGAGTGTCCTTCTTATAGGATACACCTGGCAAGACCCTGCTAAGAGTGGGACTAGAGAAATTTATAACAACATAAAGCCCCACTGAAGTCAACAGGGTTCTGTCTGCATGTTTGACCTTATTAGGGCTCAAGCACTAAGTAGAATCAAAATGTGGCCATTCATTTCAATTACATGAATTGAGACACCTTGGGCCTGATTGTCAGAGATGTTGAGCATCTGGATCTCCCCATGCCTTTATCTGGATGGGGAGTGCTCAGTACTTCTGAAAAATCAGGTTCCATGGAGCTCAAATCTAGCACCCAAGATGGGAGGCCCCTACAATCAGCAGCCATAGACAACCTAGGCCTTTACCTTTCACAAACTATGGCTCTTCGTAAGGAGCCACAACCACACCTCTGACTTGGTGTCTGTGAATTGGGCCAGCAGTGCTGTGCTGTGATCACTTGCGGGTACAGATAAGGGCACTTGGAGACTTAAGTCTCCCGCTGTACAAGCCGATGGGGCAGAGGGCAACAGTCTGTCAGTCAGGGGCTGCTTCTTCAGCCTTGCGACCCCTGGCCTCAGTTTCCCCATCCCTCAAACAGGGATCAGAACGCTCCCCCGCTCCAGCAGGGCAGGGAGGGGCCTGCGCACCCCAAAGGCAGGGGCTGCTGAGTGGGGCGGCTCGGCCCCGGACTCCTCGTGCAGCAGCTCTCACGGAGGCTGCAGAGGGCGGGCGGCTCAAAGGAGGCAGGAGCCCGAGTCAGGTCAAAGGGCAACGCCGGGGGCGCGGCCGGGCAGCGGCGGAAGTGAGCGCTCTGTACCATGGAGCTGACGGCAAGCGGTGGCTAGAGCGGCGGGCAGTCGGGGCCGCTCTGCGCGGCGGGAGGCCTGCTCAGTGGGGCCGGCGGGGCAAGATGGAGGAGCGGGTGTACCGGGCAGTGTCCGGGGGCCGCATCGCGCTGCAGCGCCGCCAGTACAGCGCCTCCTGCCGGGAGTTCTCGGTGCGCTGCCCCCGGCTGCAGCTGCGCTCGCTGAGCGCCGCTACCTGCTCCGTCTGGCTGGCGGCTTACGGGCTCTTCGTGCTCAGCCAGGTACCGAGCGGCTCCCCGGGCCCGCCCCGACCGCGCCCCCTGGGTTCGGCCCCGGCGGGGGCCCCTAAAGCCTCCTCTGCCTTGTCCGTCGTGCGGGCGCCCAGGTCCTGCTCCGCCACGTGCTCCCAGCCCCTTCCGAAATCCGCCGTCAGGGGAGCCCTAGTGTCAGCCCGCGTCCCCTTCGCCCCATCGGGGTTCCCCAGGCACATGTCCCACTGCTCACTTATCATGGGCTCCCAGTGCTGCAGCTCCAGGCGGGCACGGAAATCTGGAAAACAGTTTGTGGCATTATTTAAAAGAAGGGACCTTTCTTTTGTCCCAGCTCGGCTACCCAGGGAATCCCTCTGTCCCCACCACTCTCGCACACAGACACCAGGCAGCAGCCAGTGCCTTAAACCGCACAAATGCCATGTTAATTTAGGTCTGCTCTACGCTATGGGTATGTCTACACTACAAGAGTAGTTCGATTGTACTTAAATCGAATATGTGGAATCGATATTACAAAATCGAACGTGTGTATCCACACTAAGGACAGTAATTCGACTTTGTGAGTCCACACTAACGGGGCAAGCGTCGACATTGGAAGCAGTGCACTGTGGGCAGCTATCCCACAGTTCCCGCAGTCCCCGCTGCCCATTGGAATTCTGGGTCGG